GGAACACATTGCTCTTGACATAACCCCACAGGAAAAAATCTAGTGGTGTTATGTCTGGTGAACGTGGAGGCCAAGGCATTGGACTGTCTCTGCCGATCCATCTTCCTGGAAATGTCCTGTCTAGGTACGTGCGTACCTGTAGACCCCAATGAGGTGGAGCACCATCTTGTTTCAGAATTATGTGTGGCTGTAAGTGCTCACTTTGTGGTACTGCGTACAGTTCCAGCATGTCCAGATAGGTGTTGATCGTCTGCTCTTGAAAAAAGAAGGGTCCAATAACCTTGTCATGCATTACACCACACCACACGTTCGCTTTTGGACTATCGCGTATGTGCTCCCTAACATGTGGGTTTTCAGTGCCCCATATGCGCACATTATGCCTGTGAACTTTACCTGGGTCATGAAATGTTGCCTCGTCTGTGTACATGATTTTTTTCAAGAAGTCCACATCAAGGTCAATGCGGTCGAGCATTTCTTCTGTGTAATGTTGATGTGCTATGCCATCACCAGGTTTCAACTTCCAGAGTTTCAACGTAATCTGCCGCAAACCGCATGTGACTAGCTCAATTTGTTTGTGTGCCAGAATTTTTCAAAACCCCGAAGGGACTTTGTGGACACACTGTATTATGAGATAGTTGGTATTTGAGTATCAAGGAAAATGCAGTGTTTTGAATAAACAATCATTTGGCATATTTGCTTATAATCATCATGAGTCATGGAGTAACGTTACCTCTTGACCCATTCAGACCTTTCTTCCTTGTTCTGGTAGGTCCCTGCAACATAATTAATTAGTAGAAAGTCAGTTTGTATTCTGTTAATGTGGTAACCCAATGGTTTTTGTACTTTAAATTTTTGGTTAATACTGATTATGTCTAGTTCTTCAAATATGTCTAATTTTTTTTACAGTGTTTTATGTATTTTGTGGTCAGCTTAGTAACTGGTATGACTTATTTCATAAAGCCTCTTCAGTCTCGTCTTCCCAGAGTACACCTATATTCATAGCAGATGCTGTGGTGACTAAGTGATCTAAGTGATGACTGTATAACCATTACTTATGAACTATGGAAAAAGTCCATGCAGAAGTTTGTCTTGAGACAACAGCTCTATGATCATATCATTAACTGATAGACTAGTAGTCTATCACAGGATGAACATGTTTTGTTAATATGACAAATTTAAATAAAGGAAATAGTTAGGGGTTACTATTTGGCATTTATACCATTGAAGGCATCTGCTCACATATCACATAAATAAAACAAGGAATATCTGCCTATTTTTGTAATATAAATTATAACTTGTGTGGGCAAGGCTGTGGTCTAGGCAACACGGAGTTTTCCTCCGGGGGCTTACCCGGTTTTTCCGAGGCATCTCAACAATTACTCCATTCACACACACAGAAGAAGGCAATGGCAAACCACTTCTGGATCATCTGCCAAGAACGTATATGAACAGGTCCCAGTCCGAGAAAAGGATGGAAGGATCCTGTTCATATGGACCTGTCGTCAGACAGAACACTAAATAAAAATAAAATCTCTTCAGTGGCAAACTACAATTACATAAATATAAATTTAACACATTTTTCCCAAAAATGTCAAAAGCACACAGCACTGAACTATCTCTAGCTATATAACTATAAATAACTGCTTTCAGAAAGTGTGAATAGTTTGTTAATTTAAGAGCTGCTGAAATTCTTATTCAAAAGAATGGCCAGAAAAAATTCTGACAGACTTTTAAATTCTGATATATAAAATTAAAAATTAAAATTAGTGAACATGCGCAATATCTTGCATATCATATACTATTACACAAAAATGTTACATATTTATGGTTTCCTGCCTCCATTTCATTCTCCCTAAAGCTATAGAGCCGTCTTTTAATTAGGGTTACCAGATTTTCAGTTTGGAAATGAGAGACATACAGTTTCTTGGGCATGAAGACTGACTTACTTCTGTGCTAGTAGAACTCTGTAAATATTTAACAGTAATAACACCAGATCCCACCAATTGCTCAGCCAGCTCAACCCAGTTCACGCTCTCACAATATTAATACTAAAAGATCTGGGTAAGTCTAAAGGGCTCTGACAATGGGGTCGTGCAGTAAGCTTGACTATTATTTTGGACATTGTCCATTGTCCTGGTTGTTTGTTAAAAATACTTGTTTCAGAGACTGGATCTGTCTCCATCATTGGGTGAAGGTACAAGTGAGAGGTGCCTACTCTGGTGGGTCCCTTAGGCTGAGCTAGTCTCCATCACTAACTGAAGTCAAGCTAAGTAATTCATATTTATAGCATCAAAAATCTGTGGGGAAACCAAATAAGCAATATCCTAATAAAAATTGCTGAAGAAACTATGAATTATGGAATAAGAATACCCTTGTAGTCTCATATAAAAACCATGAAACTGACACTAAGCACAAAATTAACTTTTAAGTCCAAAAGGGACATGTATGTCCCATAACATGTAAGTGCAAGGGACTGAATGGGATGTTATTGTCCTGTTGTGTCGTGACATTATTAAAAAATAAGCCAAATGTTTTGTATGTTTTTCATATTTCTCATGTGTGCTACATGCCTCATCCATCTCAACCTCCCTGGTTTGATTAATCGTTTTTTTTTTCATAAAATTTAATACTTATAAATAAAGCAAGTATTTGGAAAACAAATATTTTTATGATAATTTATGTTAAAAGGCAGATTTAACAGACAAAATATAACCAAATCCATATTGGCCCTGGACACAGAAATTCACATCCTAAATAATTATGCATATTTACAGTTGTTATTTTCAACTCTGGTATTAGATTATTGCATTTTATATTCAAATTACATTGAGGGCTTGCTGCAAGGAATAGTGTAATTACAGTACCTACATTTTGTGTTCCACTTTTCGTAGGATAATGTCAGATAGTCTTAAAAAATGCAGTTGTGTGTGTGGTACACCCTGAAGCAGGGACTAACACATAATCCCTCATTGCATTTGAATATCTGAATGCTGTCCATGTTTCTCTGTTTTTCACAGAACATACTTGGCACCTAAGTTGTCTTCCTTCTGAGGGCCAGTGTAGAAGTACTTGGTCTTCCCCATGGGATATCTGTAGTTGAGACCCCCCCCCCCTTCTTGTTTGAAAATTAATGAGAACATTTTAAACCACAAGAAGTGAGGAGAATAAAGCTGTTCAGATTTGAAAGGTCCAGAAGGTGAAAGAATTTTTTTTCATTCATTTCCAGTGTGTCTCCTAATGGTGTAAATGCTTGTCACATCACATGAACAAAAAGTCTTCACCTCTGAGCATTTTGTGCTCTTCTTTCTTGAAATTTTGTAAATGTTGGTAGAAGAGACAAAAGACAGATATTACCATCCATTCATACATTTGAAGGACCCTGACATGACTATACAAGAAATGTACTTGTTCTTATTTATGTGGGCATCAGACTCAAAGTTTAAAATTAGTTCCTGTGCAATGTCTTTATTTTGAAGACTCCTCTTCAAAGTCATCTTTCACTCAGAAGGAAACTGCGTTTGAGACTTCAACATTTGAAACTCACTCCCTTCACAGTTTATACTCTCATGAAATGCCTGGGTCATTCTTATAGAAGTAATAAAAGATGAATGGTAATTGCTTCCTGTTTCTTGATTGTTATTCATGAATAACTATTTCATGACACTTGGGTCTGTCTCTAGGCAGTGACACAATGGTCTTAGCCTGGAAATTTCCTCTGTATTTGAAATGAAGTTCTCAAAACTGAACTAGTACTTGTGCAACTGTAAATATGCACTGGTTAGACCACATTTCCTCTATGGATTACCAGATTTATATATCCCTGCTAAAATCAACTAGTGAAGTGGCTACATTACTGCACTGCCAAAAACTATAACACTACAAACATCTATCTCGAGACCTTGACCACTTGGGTATCTGCAGCTGTAAGCTGTTTAGAAGCAAACTTATATTATTGTGACACATGAAATGTCATTCTGATTTCTTGGTTGTTTCTTGTTTGTCACTGTTTACATGCTCAGTTCACCATCCATTTGCTAAGAACAAGTTTTGTCCCAATGTGATCATCATCAGGTTCAATTCCCTGCTTTTTTGTCATTCCACTGTGAATATTTTCTCCTCCTAAATGTCGAAATAATAATAAAATTTTATGTTAAAACATTTTAAATTAGTTAAAATGGTACTTTTGACACAGATACTGGACATACATGTGGAAACAGAGAATACAATTACAATAATAAGGAAAACCGGAAAAGGAATATTTCAGAACAGTTTAGAAATGTAATGCATATTTCTAGCTAGTAAACAAGAAATACATTTGAATGAATTTAATATTGACCACAATAATCCTCTCTTCAAAATGATGCATAGAAAAACTGAAAGAATTATCTGCATATAACACCTCCCCATCCCCAATAAAACAGACAGGTGCACCATGCCCCACATCATTCTACAACAATGCAACACAACACATAAACTCAGGTAATGTAATACTCTGCTACTACATATCATATCAAGGAAATTGAAACTTTCTATTTACAGATCAGAAAGCTGTGCAAAATACATTTTAAGAAACATTTTTAACATTATTAACTTTTTACCATTTTAACTAATTTAAAATGTTTTAACATGTTACTTTATCATTATTTTTTGACATTGGGGGGAGAAAATATGATCCCCAGTGCAATGACACAAAGGCAGGGAATTAAACTTGATGATGGCCACATTAGACTGAAACATGTTCCAGCAAATGGATGGTGAACTGAGTGTGTGAAAAGTGACAACAAGAAAAACCCAGGTATCTGCATAACACACCAGAATACTACACTATATACAGACTTGCCATTTTGAAATTATGGTACAGTGTTAAAATGTTTCTGCATCTCTAGCTAATCCAGTTTCAAATATTTAAAAGAATAAACCAAAAGAAAAAGAAAACATGGGGTCAGATTGGAAAATATGTGCAAACTATGCTGTTAGGCAGATTATTTGGAACTACAGCATGAAGAAAATTGGTTCATTCCTAATAACTTACATTTTATTAAAAGTATGGACTAAAAACTGTAGTGAATAGTCTAATTTGAAGATTTCTGTCTTCTGGGTTGTTGCGTTGTGTTATCTGGTCGATGCTAACCAACGTTTCAGAGGTCATACTGCCTCCGTCATCGCCCTGATGACGGAGTCAGTATGACCTGTGAAACGTTGGTAAACATCTATCAGACCTCACAGCACAAGAACCCAGGAGACAGAAATCTTCAATGGAGTGTTTCTTGGCCAGTAAAATTGTTTATGAAGCATTGCCACTACTTCCTGATTTTGTGCCCTTTGAAGCATTTAAATTCCAATATATTTCAGCTGCCTGGCTAAATGGGATTTAAATACCTGTCATTTAAAGGTTAAAACTTTAAACCATCCAGTCATCAGCAATGAACATATGACAGACTCTCATGTAAAACGTATGAAAGACCCCCATAAGATATGTGATGAACTCTGAAGGAATAATCTTGAAATGGCCACAGCACTAGAATGTGAGGTTAAGCGAAAATTCCCTGTATCTTGCTGAGGAAAAATTTCCATACTGGATTGGCTTATCGGCTGGTTTGCACATGTTATATGGGCCAGTTATTTGTATTTTCTCCATATGTAGTTCAGCTCGATTTGTAGAACCATGGCTTTTCAAATGATATGTGCCCTTCATCGTAGGCATGGGCTTACTTACATTTCTCCATTAACATTTATCATAGATTATGTTGGTGTTCTCTGAGATGCAACCCTAATGTTCTGCCTGTTTTACCAGTGTAGCTCTGGTTGTTGCATTCACAGGGTATGCTATAGATGCAATGCCCAGTATCCTGGAGGATGTCTGACAAGTCCAGTATTCAGAAGTGGGTATCCAAGAGTGGCTGGTTTTGAAAACTTCGGTGTTGTACTAGTTCCAAATATGTCTAAACTTTTCTTATACTTCCTTAACATTGGGGTGGGGGATGGCAACCATACCTAAATATGTTTTTCTCTGTCTCCTGCCAACTTTTCACTGTAGGTCCCTTAGTGTAGACTTCAGTAAGTATCCGATGATGGAGACTAGCTCTAAGGGACCCACCAGAGTGGGCACCCCTCGCACCTACCTGCACCTGATGATGGAGATAGATTAGTTTCCAGTTTTTAACAACCAATACAAAGGACAGTGTCCAAAATAACAGTTCAGCTTACTAAAACATCTGGTGAGGTGCCTTTAAAGAAATTTCTGTACCAATAGTCTATGGATTTCTTACTCCTCCAGTAGAGCTGTTTGCAACAGCATTCCCATTATATAATGGAGCATGAACTTAGTTACAATATGAATTGATATATGTTCAGGTGCTGATAGTAGGTGGTGGTGATGGAGGAGTGGCAAGGGAGGTGGCCAAGCATCCTGGTGTAGAAAGCATTGTGCAGGTAGAGATTGACTCTCATGTTCTTGAAGTATCCAAGAAGTTCCTGCCATTCATGGGTACAGGGTTGACGAATCCGAAGCTTACACTTCATGTTGGCGATGGATTTCGATTCATGGCACAACATCGGCAAGAGTTTGATGTCATTATCACAGACTCTTCAGATCCTGTAGGTATGTATATAAATCTCTTTCTCTTTATAGCAAAGAAATCTGTTAACTGAAGTAATATGACGTGTTCCCTGAAGTTTGTTAATGAGCTGGATGACTTTGAATTTATCTAAAGATATTCTGCAATATGACAATCATTATCATACAGAGGGTAGTCTGCAACCATCTTCAACAGTGAATCCTGTCATATTTTGATGTACTGAGGTGGATAGAATAAACTTAAGATACAAGAATTTTATGCCTTATGATGACTGATCTACTGGCTTAAACTTCCTTGTATATTTATGTACATATTGTGAATTTAAATGTTTTAAAACTGTACTGATGATAGTCATTGTAATGATAATGCAATAATAACAAAGTTCCCATTAATTTAAATTATGTTTCATTCATACTGCAGTCATCTATGTTTTCAGATATTCACAAGATATAAAATTATGAGATTTGAACTTATGTTTGGCATGTTATCTCTCAGATTATGGTAATGGAAACTGAGATGGAATAATTAATTGACCGATATGTAAATTCAGTTTTGCTACATTTGGTGTTTTAGGCTACACCAAAACTAGATTATCTGAATTTCACTCTAACATTGCATGTCTGGAATACCAAATTTTTCTGCCTTTTCAAACCTTGCTGTATCTGTGGTGATCAGAAACATTATTTGGTTTTGTATCACCTTTCTCACGAATTAAATTTAACCCTCTGATTCATTCTAAGCTACCAATGATGAAATCACTGATTATGTTATAGTTTTACCAAGAAAACATTCCTCTTCGTTAAAATACTTGAAGGTTTCACAGTAAATAAATGTACACAAATCTCAGGCGATCTGCTGCATCAGTGTTGGGCAGACAACTGTTGTTTTTGAGATTGGCTTTGTCTGTGTTGTGTAGAGTGACCATTAGGAGCTGATATATACACTGCTCTTTACTTTCCCAGCAAGTGTTTCCCAACATTTATTTTCCATGGAGGAACCCCCAAAATAATTTTTCATAACTTTATTTGTAAGGGGCTTCCATATAAAGTCAGCTTACATAGTTAGAAAGAAAACAAGCATTTTTCCTGTCTTTTTTGTTTGTTTTTTAAGGTATAAAATCAAAATAAAGTTCACTTCCAAAGTCAGTGTAAGTTTTACTTTCAGTGTGACACTTGGGCTTGTTTCTCTTTGTACAAATGTTGAATTCTTGGCTGAATTTTTGACAACCACACTCGCAGTTTTTCCTCAACAGACAGCAGACGATTTATTTATTTCTTTTCTTTGAATGTTTATCACACGTGAGAAAGCTTATTCACAGAGGTAAGAAGTTGAAAACTGAACTAAGACATTTACTGCTTTTGCTGAGATCACAGGATACTATTTTCTTATTGAAATCCAAAACATAACAGGTGATGATTCATTGAATGTTATCATCATTGTTTGATCACACTGTAGTTCAATCAGTTGTTGTTGATGTTCTTCTTCTTGCAGACTGTAAATTTTGTGAATTTGGTGAGAACTCAACAAAAGTCATATATTTCTGATGACAAAGAAGGAAAGGTTTTCTGCCGGTGATTCCAAATAACTGATAATAATCTGTCTGGCTCAGAACCTGAAGTAGGAACAGAAACATTGCATTATCTCCACTTGAAGGGTGTTTTTTCAAACCTGGAGTTTATTTTTGGATGCAAGAACTTTGTGGAAATTAAAATATTTTCTTTTGGGCCCTACATGCTGGTGTTCAAGGTGTTTTAAGTGCTGATAAATATCTACTAAGTAGGTTCGTTTCATAGCCATTTTGTATCCAAGAAAATTAGAAAAACTGACTTTATTATGATCTTTGAAGAAAAGCAGCAGTTCCTCTTGCAGCTCAAACACCCTTGTTAAAATTTCCCTCTTGAAAGCCATCTGGCCTCGGAGTGTTGAAGGAGAGTCGCATGGTCTTTTTGAATATTTTCACACAGCTTTGCAAACATGCGTGACTTAAGAGGGTTGATAAAATTGAACATGTTCACAGCTACATCAAGGACTTGTTTTAAAATCTTCTCCAATAGTTTTTGAAAAAGAACTTCTTGGTGGAGGAAACAGTGGTTCGTTGTGACATCAGGGTGTTTTATTTCTTTGATGAATGTAACAAGTAAAGCCATCCCACTACATGCCATGTAGGTCGTTTGTGGGGAGTGGAGGTATAGCTACTATTATTCCTTCACCTTGGCACTAGATGGGGGTGAGTGGTCAGCATCACGCCCCGGCTGCCCGTGAAAGGACCCTGGTACCCACTGGATGGGAGGCTGGGTGGGCCCCAGAGCCAGTCTGGACGTAGAGGCTAGAGTAAAAATCCTCTGCCCTCGTCGGGGATCGAACCCCAGTTGTCCAGCCCGTAGCTAGTCACTATACTGACTGAGCTATCCCGACTACTTTGACGAATATAACAGCCTTTCATTGATCTTATTATTGAGGGGGCACCATCAGTGCGAATTCCAACACCGGCATGACAAACCACAGGATTCCAAATAAGAAGACAAGGTGTTGAACTGTCTTGACCTTTGGTCGTTCCTGAAAGTTCTTTGCAACAACAAAAGTTCCATTGTTTCACCTCCCCTTTGAAATCGTACGAATGCCAAAAGCTGAGCTTGTTATGGCCATTGACTCGTCGACTTGAACAAAGTATCTTCTAGTATTTCAGACAAGACATCTTCAATGTCGTGTGACATTTCATCCACGCGCATACTAATAGTATTATTGGAAAAAGGGACGTTAATTTCACTTCCAGTTTCATTGCCTATCAGCTCTTTTAACTATTATTTTACAAGGAGACATTGTTAGGTGTTCAGCAGTAGTGTGACTTTTCATTTGTGTGCAACCAGCCCAGCTACTAAATAGCTTGCGTCTTGAGCCCTTTTACCGATGGTTACTTTTTTTTAAAACTTCACGTTGTTTGCCTTGTGAATCCATAAGTCGTTGGAAGTAATCGTTTTATTTGACAAAGGCTGTGGTTAGTAGTGACGTGTCGATTTAACTTGACCGGGGCTGTAGCTGTGCTTGTGAGGTTTTGTTTCCAGCAAACAGTGCACAGTGGAACTGGCCAATTTTAGTCTCTAGTCCATGTAAAACCCATGGCCAAGTAAGTCATTGTAAAGGCGAATTTTCTTCTTATCTATCAACTCTCTTCTTCTTTTACTCATACTTGGCTCTGGTAATTTTGATTAATTCTCACTAACGCACCTTCTGTTTATATACTTCAGCAGTCATATGCAGATATTGTTAGTTGGGTGGGATGTTAGATACACAAAAACAACCACAGTTTGGGTAAAAACGCTAATTACAAAAGTATGCTAAGATTACAAATCTATAAAACACCACTAGTGAAATCACTCCCGTAAATAAATCACTCTTTGTATAAAGTGAAGCTTTCGCGGCGAACGAAGTTGATGAAAGACTCTCGGGCAACAAGCCACGTCAGGTGGCTGAATGGTGAATGAACCATTTCTTCTTGGCGGAAGAAATGGCTCATTCACCATTCAGCCACCTGGCGCGGCTTGTTGCCCGAGAGTCTTTCATCAAATCACTCTTTGTCACTACCACTGGGGTAATTTGAACCGCACTCTCTACCCAAGAGTGACTCGGTTGCCCGATCGTCACGCTTTAAATTTGGAAAAACTACCTCGCTCAACCAGAGAGCTCGAGAAAAGACTAGAAACGCGGAGAATTCTGGGTAGCAGTTAGCAGACGAAAGGGATTCTCGGAACTTTACGTGAAGATAAGGACAGCGCTTCCAGGAAGAGTGTTTGTCGCGCTGCTGTTTTTCTCTTGACGGCACAGGGCTCGACCCGCCGTTCTGTCCACAAGTAAGGCGGCTCTGTAACAACACGAAACGAGCACAGACACAATACATCTAAATATGACTTTAAATACGAACTGACAAAAACAATACAAAGAGGCAGTTGGTTACGCATGGAGATTACTTCAGTATGGCCAATTACCGGACAGAAAGTCCCGAAATGTTAGGAGGAATATTTGGAAATTTCGCGGTAATTCTAAATGTTTATTAATTATTTATTCCCCGATTTCTCGCCGAATCCTGGTTAGGAAACAGTGACATAACATATATCCACAACTCATGATCACTCATGATGATGGAGATAGAGGCAGTCTTTGAAATTATGGATTTTTGGTCAGTATTGACATGACTGATCTGTGAAGAAGTTATTAGTGCATTTCTATTAGCTGCTAGACTGGTGCATAAATCAACATATTGTAGTTTCAGAGATCTGTGCAGTGGATATTTCTTGAAGCAAGACAGACATTACTCCAATTCATACCACTAATGCAGGTATAAGCACACAAAACTTGGTTTAATATTACAGGGTCTGAACCTCCGAGTTTCGTACTTCACTCTGCCAAAGCAAAACTGAAGTTTATAAACTTAATATGTAGGGTATAGGAACAGCAGAACAGCACAAAGAATGATCTGTAGGAGCTTCTGGCACATGGGATTAGAAATTAAATTTGCATCTTTGTCTGTTACAGGACCAGCTGTGTCTTTATTCCAGCAGAGTTATTTTGAGTTGATGCGTGGAGCTCTGAAACCTGGTGGAATTGTTTGCTCTCAGGCTGGAACAGTATGGGCTAACATAGACATTGTAGCACAGACATTTCAGCACTGTCATCTCACATTTAGAAAAGCATCATTTGCCTGTGCTGCTGTTCCCACATATCCCACAGGACAGATAGGGTTTGTGCTTGGAAGTCTCAGCCCGGTAAGATGGATTTCAAATTTACTGGGACTCAAACTATCATCCTGTCCAACTTTTTGCCATGTATTTTGATATTTTCATGTCACTTTAAATTAATCTATTATTTCCCAATATTTTTTGGACAGTGCTCTTCTTGGTGAGATTTCAGGTTTTCACAGCTGCACTGTTTTTTTGCACCATGTAGTCTGGTAGAAATTTACCAGCAATTCAGAGGTACTTATTGTCTCCATCATCAGAGTGATGAGTTTATGATGGAGGCTGTAAGCATCTCTGAAATGACAGTCAGTTGCTATTAGTCTATGTGGTGCAACATCCCAGATGACAGTCATCTTAATGATCTGAAATGTGTACCAAAATTAAGACAAAGGAACTTAAAGTAGATTATGTTTAATGGCAAATGTGTAAAAACAAACATACCAATGATTAAATTTGAAGAGATTGTTTCACCTAGATTTTTGGGGAAATCTTGAAAACTGTGTTGCCAACATTTTACTGAAGATTCAAGAACATAGTCACTGTAAGTAATTAATTGAAATAATGCCGGATATTTTGATTCAAAACAGTTCATATAGTAGTAACAAAACAAATGAGTGAATGTTCTCATCACTAGCAGTAACTTAACACTATGAAATTAGAAGGTTTTTAGATTCAAATTCTTAAGCAGTAGATTATCACTAATAAGCTAATTAATACTTAATAGATTTGAATTATTGTACAAATGAAAGCTTGGAATCTGGTATCATCTTGTGACTTTTGTATGTTAAATACTGATGATTTTGGTACTGTGCAACAAACAAGATTAGATGTACACACAGAATGTGACAGCATATTGTGTTGGCTACTGCCATATGTCTAATATAACAAGATTAAAAAAAGGACAGTAAAATTGATTGAACTGCTTAGAATCAATAGAAATATTACTTAATGATCCTATGATTTATTATGTTTTAAATTGATGTGTGAAAGACTTGATATTATATAATAAGGAACTTTGTGATTTGTTCATGTCATTAATATTATTTTGATAGTGAAGTCAGGGAAGCTGTGATGGGTTGGGGGAGAGTCAAGGCATGCATACAAAATTAAATCTCCTGAAGAATGGTCACATGGGCAATGTAGGAGATAGGAAAACATTAAGGTAGATATTAAGGAAGCAGGTTTTGAGGATGGTATGTGGACAGGAAGATGTTCAGGATCATATCAAATATCATCCACTGGTATTAGCCATGTTCTGAAACTTAATTCTGCTATCAGAGTGGTACCTACTGTCCACCGACCAGGAGAAAATCCCTGCTAGGAATTTGATATACGCTCATGCGCAAGATTTTGCAGTGAATGACGAGTTGCTACTAGCCACCCTAAAAGCATTCGTTCCACAACCACTGAACGACCAACATACAACAGGCTTTCATGTGTTCTGATGGGTACAGCTGGTATAGTGATTGAACCTAGAAAATTATCACAACACCCACAGAACACAGCACAGGTGCACTCACTCCATGCTACTCATAACTGCTTGATGTTTTGAGTCTGTGTGTAGTAGTGTAACTCTCTCTAGCATCATACTTCCCACTAATAGCAGTCCTCTAGTCCATCTGATAGTAAACGTCCCCCCTGCACTGCACCAGAACTGTTTCCCCCCCGCAGGGATTTTCTCCTGGCCAGTGGACAGTAGATGCAACATTAAAAAAACCTTAAGATATTCAGTTTTTAGGAATAAGGTTATGTCTGCTTAATTGTATTCTACTATATTACAAGTTATCACACAAAGACCTACGACTCGTATTACAAGAAACCTGGTACAAATTTGCCATCTGTCAGGTATAGTACAAGAAATAGTATAATAGATTACTTTAATTATGTTGCTAGATTGCTAGAGTATAATGTTCTCTTTGAAAGAAACATTATCCTGAAATTTACGCTGTCTTCTTTGAGACCCATTAATTTTTCCCACGACTTCAGTGGCTTATGTTTATACAAAATACCTGTTGTTTCATTTGAATTTCCCAGGTTTGTGCCATATTTTTGTGACCAGTCAACTTTTCTTTTAACTATTGGATGCTGTGATGACTTTCCATTTTGCAAGCATTTTAGTTTTCAATAAGTGATGGCTTTCAAGTAGGCTGTTATCATAATCTAATCTCTTAGCCAAATCTGCTGTGTACAATGCATTTTTTATTTTAATTTGCATGTTTGGTAAGACATGATTGCAACACAGCAGGAAAGAAAAACTATTTGCTTAAAAGGAAAATTATGAGATGTTAGCAAACACATGGGGGGCTCATATTTCCTTGGTGAACCAGTATGAATTATTAGTATCAACTTTTGCTGGCTTTGCTACATAGAATTTTTTAGACGCTTTAAAAACATGAATGTGAAAATGTATTTTTTTGCAAAATTATCATCACAGCACATTTATGAACAGTCTGTCAATATAGGTCTTAATTAAAGATGAGTAGGAAAACACTACCTATAAATTGGTGAAAATATGTTAAATATTTCTTTACCTGACTTCAGTGTTGTTTTCTTCTCAGACAGGTAGGGTCCTAGTGAAGATTGCCCAGTTTCACTAGCTTTCTTCTCTCTTAGCCTTGCCACATCGTACACCTATAGACTGCCTCCTCAACCAGGGCACTTCTTCAAATATGAGAAAGCATAATGGCAAGGCTGCAACTGAAAGCTCCTTTTTCACATTCTGTGACATCACAGATGTTGAAGTAGAATAGTGTTCTATGAATGACTCATTATATGTTATCTATAGAGGTTGCTATTTTCTGTCCCCGTTGTTGTTTTTCATCGTTTTTCCTACACTGAATATTCACACATATTTATGAATATATGTACTATCAGCACACCTGAAGTAGCGTACTATTAGTGTTAAGTGGCCTAATTAGTAAGCTGCTGTGACTTATTATGATTTTTGCATTTCCTACAGTTTACATAATTTCTCATCATTTCCCAGGAAAGTGCAAATAGGAATAAGACTTTTATGTGCAAAAAATCACACTATGAAGTGTAGTGACTGACTTGACACCAGGTGCAAAATCAGGGAGCAAACTGGATAATGACAGCCAGTTTGTATATTGCTTTACGTCTGAACATGTAGAATGAGGGATCCAGTATATGAAAAGTAAATGTTAAGAAATCTGAACATATGTCCTCAAACTATAATAACATTTACTTCGTGCACTAAAGATCCTGTTAAAGTCTAGTCAGTAGAATATCTGTAACATTTTGACAGTTGTCTTCATAGAAAACCCTCACAATTCACTAAGTAAATCATTAATATGAGAATATATCGAGTTTATAGAGAAGTTGGGTTCAGAGTATGTGTCCTGTATCTCTCTGTCTTTCTTCCATAACACCATTGAATTTAAATATGGCCTTTTATTAGAACATTCTGTCAGATATTTGTGTGTGTTCATCATCCCTATGCATTCTACATGGCCATCTCATTTTAACACCAGCCCTAGTAATAAAGTGTATACTTTATTAATTTATTTGTGTGTCCTGTACCTGAAGAGCATCAAATTTCAATGTGGCCTTTTATTAGAACATTCTGTCATCACTGATCATAGTAATAAAGTGCATATTAATTTCTTAATATATGACTTTCATGTTTTCATTTTACAGGAAACCAATTTTAAGGAGCCACTACGGATATTCTCAGAGACAGAGTTAGATTCATTTAATCTGCATTACTACTCTGCTGAAGTACACAGAGCTGCATTTGTCCTGCCTCGATTTGCCAAAAAGGCCCTGGATGAGATTATCAATAGTGTTACTGATGAGGTGAACACTGGTGACCGCTAAACAATCACAGTATTAACATTTGACTAAAAAAATACATACAGTCCTTTCATATTGTGAACAGTTTTATAATTCTTATACAGAGGGTGAAGTACCCTGGCAATATTTTAGAGCAATTCAAACTTTCTTACAGTCTGTATGATTGATTGGTGTCATTTCTGTGGCAACTAAGTAGGGCCAGGTTGAGTATGTAAACTTTTCCATTCTTTAATACAGCCAAGCAAAAATGTATTTAATTTTACTTCATGTCATTCTACAACATGAATGTTATAAGTTATCAACTACTGACATATAGGGATAGAAATTCATATGTTAAATTCGTCCAGATTTTGAGATCAGTCCGTTACTAGAATTATTGTAATATCCAAAATTTACTAATGTTAACTACTACAGAACTGGTTGAAACTAGCTACCTTCCTCCATTATAACAGAAGAATCTCTTCCTTCTGCAAGGTTTGAGATGACGTACTTCAGATTTTCATGAGCAGATGGCACCTGAACAAAAAACTGCCTTGTTAAAAATGTTGTGTTTATATGCACATGGGTTACAGTCTGAAAACTGGTGTACAACCTAGATGAAGGAGAGGTTTTTTTTTGCTGATGGAGCACTGTAAATGCATGAATATGCCCTTTTGTAGAACACTTGACTTCATTTATTTAGCCAGTAGTTCATAGGACCGTGGTGCAGCCAGAAGTTAAAGGAATTGAGGTGTGTTACTTATTTGATGAATAAACCATTTTATAATGTTTGAGGCTTACACAATGAATTGTCAAAAAAAGAAAAATGTGGATAACTTCCACAGCTAAGTACACTGCATTATATTTAAGCTAATTTAAAAACTCAGGAGATTCATTATAAAAGAAAGTATGTATTTATTAAGTGAACTATAAATATGACACAAATTATATATGACTAGAAGCTATCGCGGTGACTAACAGTGATAAAATCCTCTCGGGCGACCAGCTGTGTCAGCTCAGAACCGAAGTCCGACGGTAGAGAGACTGTTGCCATCATCAGGGAATGTGATGGGTAACCACAGTTGATTGTATATATATAATCGGTGCCCCTTCATGTACGGTCAATGGCCGGTGAGGAAAGGGAAGCAGAGTCAAGTGGAACCCATCTCGAAACATTCGCTCAGAGTCACTCTACCTAGAACTTATGGTCAAAACAACCCAACCAGCGTTGTCTTAGGGGGAGAAACAAAAGAAGAAGAAAAAAGAAATGACAAAAGGAACCAGTCTTTCATCCTTTGCCGGTCGAAAGATTTTGTCATCTGCAACGACGGTCACCCCTCTGGCATTGTCTCGCCTCTGTGTCACTTAACCAAACCAGAGCAAGAATGGGAGAGGGTCCACCCAAATTTTACTTGGTTGGAACCTCTCCCGTATTTTGCTCTGTCTCAATGTTGCTCAACCCGGCCACGGACCTCTCTGACCTTGTCCTGTCCGAGTGTTGCTTAACCATCTGCGTCTCCTGGAAGATGCTGATGACGGTGCCATACCTGGCTCTGCATAAATCCATTGTCTCCGTTGAAATTATTTGAGTGTAGTCATATTTTAGTTGCCTCCTTTACCAGTCGATCCACTGTGACCTCCTCCAAGCTAATTTTATGTTTTGTTTCGATGCTGTGTTCTGCTATCACCGATTTGTTGGGTTGATGGAGTTATATGTAATGTGCATGTTATTTGCACTTGGCTGTTAATGGTGTGCCCCGTCTGGCCCATATACACTCCCATTGGATCAGGTACATACCTGCCACACAAACTCTGAGGTAATCTTTCACCGACCTTAGCTTGTTGTTTTACTTAACCAGTCGGTGTATGTCCTAATATTATACTTGGCCAGTAACCTGCTAATCTTTCCGGATATTCACTGCATGTATGGTATTATGGCCATGTCAGCTGGATCACTTTCCTGAGTCCTGGGTTTCTTCTTTGTTTAAAGGGAGAGGTGTATCTCTGTTGCACTGTAGCCATTTTGTTGGAACTTTTCTTTACGTGTCAGATTTATCCTTCTAAGTTGTCAGAGTCGCAGATGGTCCTAGCCCAGCCAATGAGTGTAGATAAGATGGCAATTTTTTTGTACTAGATGATTATCCGTGTGGGTTGATTTCCTGTATACTGTGCGGCCTTTTCACTAACACTTCCAGAAAGGGCAGTGTATTATCCTCGGTATCCATCGTGAATTTGATGTTGGAATAACAGAAATCTCTGGAGTTCATGTTCCCCATGCGGCCATACCACTAGCATATCTGAACCAATGGGTCAGTTTGCACAGAGCAGTTCTTAGTGTTATCTTTTTGAAATGTTCCATATATAAGTGTGCCGTTATTGGAGCAAGCTGTGAACCCACGGCAAAGTCATCTGTCCGTAATATTTCCCTTCAAAAAGAAAGTATTCTGTAGATAAATCCTCTGCAGCTTCTGTATAAAGGATGCGAAACTTTTTTATGTGGTGTTCCATAAGTCCCACAAGGGGACTAATCCTGCCAGATGCTCTCCAGGAGGTAGGTGGATGAGCCGATACAATTCACTACTTTTCTTAGCGGATTGCTCTCTTTATGTGTTTTCGAAAGCCCATAAAGTCTAGGTGGTGCAGAAGCACTGGGGATGAACTTCTCGGCAGTGTTCTCTGGTATTTCTATTTCCTTCCTATTTATCAGATCTTGCTGTTGTAATTTGTATATCGGTTCGTTGAGCATTGCTTCAATCTTCTTGCTGTAATCACTGGTGTTCATTATTACCATGGCGAGCTTTCATTGGCTAGAAATATGGTCAGGTCTTCATCTTCTGTAAAGGCTAGCAGTGCATTCTGTTCTGCTTTAGAAGTATTCTTCTTCTGTGTCTTGCTTTCCTTAAGATAAGGCATGTTTCCTGTTGTATTTCTTCTGCTACCTCCATATGTAAACCTAAGATCGCTTATTGTGGACGTAGGCATGATTTGTGTTCATGCAGCTTGTTCTGAACTCTCTAGTAACTTTAGCACTGAATATGATTTCACAAGTTTTAGACTTATGAGTCTGTTTTTATAGTTTAAGAGGTTTACAACTTTTGGGCCTTACATTTGTTACCTGGATTGCTTTTGTATATAGAAGGTTCTGATGTTTCCACTTTCTCACAAATTTTTCAAACCTTTTTCCTCTTATGTGAAATTTGAGATTTTCATGGTTGTGAAGTTGATGATGATGTTCTTTTGAGTTTTGACACTGTGTACACTTCTAGGTAGATGCCAGCTTTCTGGAGAAACTTGCTGTCTCCATCTTCAGGGATGAAGTGCCAATGCTAGCAATCAGCCAAAAAGCTAACTACGAAGTGCAAGACATTGTCCCATGCTAGGTTAAACCATTTATGGGTATGAAATGCATAGCTGGAATTAGAAAACAGTGCCTTATAAATGATAACTGGGGGTTTGTTGTCTTGGGTGAAGTTTTGACATGTTCAGACTAAAGACAGTGGAAGGCTTTATGCAGAGTCAGAGGAAGGGGAAGGTTGAGGGAATGGGCCAGTCTGATATAAGGAAGGAGGGAAAATGGTCTGATCCAATAGGAAATTTCAAAGTAGGCGATTGGGTTCTGGGTAGAAAGTGAGAGAGGGAAGAAATCAGCTCTCTCCAGGGTCAACCAGTGGGTGCTATGTTCCTTCAGGTTGTGAATGAGAAGGTTCCATGCCATCCTAACTGGCATCTACCTGCAAGTCTACATGGTGGCGAAACCCAAAGGAACGTAATCTTTTCTGATACTCTGTTCTGGTTTTCTTCTGTAGACTGAACCACTTCTAAGTAAAGATGCTGTGAAAAGTTTCTACTGACTGTACACACTTTACTGATGTTACTGCAGGTAATGACATGTGATCACAACTGGGCCAACACAAAAAATCAAAAAGCCTGATTTCTGAAAATAAATGATGCCACAAATGTAAGTCATTAACTAAGCTAAACTATTTGAAGCAGAATGACAAATTTTCTGTTGACAAAAATGCATTGTAGATTTTTACAAGACAAAAATACCACATTTTCTACCACAAAATGGATCTGTGACCTATATATTTATACATTACAGTATGCTGATTTATGATCTGGCAATGTGCATTATAAATGTTAGCATAGGAGTGGAGAAAAATGTCCTCACTCTTATAGTAATCATGTGTGTTTCAAACTGCAATTTTAATTTCAACTGGGGAGCTCAGAGAAGTAAATTATAAATTATGTCAGACATGTACATGCCAGGAACTATTAAAGATTAATTTTCTAAGCAAAATCTGAAATATTGTAGGGGCCGTCAGATCTTTTGAGGTAATTGTTTACAGGATATAAAATAAGCTAATATAAACTTTTGTCACTGCCTTGCTTTGTGTTTAATACAAAAAGTCAATGACAAAGCACTCCTAGTTGTGAAATTTTATATCTCACTCAGTTTGAGACATGTAATCATCAGGTTTATTTATGAGCTGGTAAGAAATCCACCAGCTTTTAGTGTGTGTGTGAGGCACATTGTAGTCATGTTTGCATTATGTGCCTGTGTGTGCTCTAAAACATATTAACCCTTGGCATACAAAACAAAAGAGAGTGCCTAAGGAAATGTGGAGTAACTCTCAAAAGATTTATGTGACTTTTAAAAGCCCTGTTTGTAGCCCTGCAGATGGCATTCATTTCAACCCATGTATGGAGCAGCATTCGTGCTGTAATCATCACTACAGTTGCAGTGATCTTGTAGATGTCTGAAATCATGAATTTTTAGCAAAACAGATTTCTTATGAACTTAAAATAATTGACAACCTTGTATTCATATGCCTCAAATTGAAAGAAATAATTATTAAAACTAGGGAGTTCTTTTTCAGTGAACCTGTGTTTCATCATTCAGAGGGTACTTTTTTACTCATGAAAGTGATCTGTATGAGTGCAATCCTAAAAATTATGAACATTGTTGGTTACAAGAGATCAAAAGTTTGTGTATACATTATAATAGACATGAGCCACGTTAAACTGTACATAACTATCTTAATTGACACATGATACCAGTCATAAAGGATAGAGGTTTTGGTATATCTGTTCTGATACCTGTTGTACAGTACAAATTTCCTACGGCTTCTAATAGGGATAGTGATCACTCCTCTGTATGCAAAATCATGAACAAAAAAAGCTTGTAATGAATGAAGGATTCTATATGAAATTTGTAAGCAGTAGCTGTAACAGCTGTCAAATTTGCCTGATTGTAATGTGGGGCATTTGTACATTTATTTTCGGTTCAATTATAAGTTGTCTGAAAGGCAAATGAAAAATGTATAGAGAGTAAATGTGATCTTTTATTCAGTAATGTTTAGGAAATTAGTTTTCAGGAGCTGTTTTGGATTTGCTTGTTGACTTGTATATTTATATTTGTTACTTTTCATATTATAGATACAAATCTTTAAAAGTATTCACCCTAGAACAATCTGTAAGATAACAACCCTCTTTGACAGTAAAACATTGTAATCAAATTAACTTCATTGCTTCTCAAGATAAAATACAGTAATTTTTATGTGGACTCTTTAACTGCAAGTCCATCCACATCTTTCAGCATAATATCACATGAATGTCAGAGTCTGGCTTTGTTTCCCACTACAGTCCATTGAACCATGTTTTTCTTTTCTTTTTTTCCTCTAATGCATTTCTTCACTGTTTTTTTAATTGAAAGTCTTTGCTGCACTGTAATTTGAACCAATGCAAACTTTAATAAATTTTCTATCTTTAATTTTTGGAAACTGCTAATATACCTGCATGTTCATGCATTGACACAAATTTGTCCACATTCAGAAGAAAATAAACTCATCTTCACAAGGAGGTAAGCATGGCCAAAATAGAAATAGTACCCAGTATGGGTTCATTATGTGTAAATACATGTGTAATTGTTGGCAAAAGGAAGTGTTTGTAAGCAAGAACATCCTAAAATCTTCATCCTAAGATGGTTAACCATTGGACCATGATTACATGTTATAATAATGTTTCTTTTATATTTTCCTTGCCCTGTTTACATCCCAATTTGTTCGTAGTAACTAGTGGTTAAAACTTGGTGTTACCACGCCAGCCATCTCAGGAGAAAATACTGAACAGCTGATATATGTTGTAAGTTAAAAAAATCTGAAGGCTCTGACTTCAAAAGAAGTCTTTGTTAATTCTGAAAAAAAATAAAGTTAACTCAGGATTATTTTGGTAATAAGTTGAATTGTACTTCCTGCTACTGAAGGGAGCATGAACACTCATCACTATTAAAACAAGAGCATGCCATTGCACCTGTACTAAGTTATCTTAATATCACAGAAACGTTTTTTACTTGGGTTCTTCATTGTCACCTTGCACATAATTTTTACTCAAAGTATACATTAATCACTTATCGGTTAACTGTCCGTATATGCCTTGGCCATCAGAATTAACTTTGGCTGCAGAACCTGAAGATTCATCACTGATAATATGAAAGCTAATAATTTACCAAGGTATTGAACTATTTCCATCCTTTTCCAAATTCTTTGTCTCTCCTGACAAAGCTCATCATATCTGGACAAAGTTCACTATATACGTGCTTTCCTCAAAGAGGCCATGTTTCATACGTAATATTCTTTGCAAAATTATGGTTTTATTCATGTCTTGATCTGTAGTAGTATGGCAAGTAACTAGGGCAAATTTTGAACTTATTAATAAGCATTTCCATAATTTATTCCCATTATCAAGAATCATTTCTGTTACTGGTGTTATCAGATACAGTATTTTTCAAAACATTTTCCAGTTTATTATGTACATAATCAGTATGTATAAAATAATGCCTTCAAACAAAACTGTTTACACTTGAAAATACATTTAGTGCCAAATGAATTTCGACCTCAAGAGGTCATCATTAGTGGCAAACAAATTAACTCATATTAAATCATACAATTCCTAAGACAATGGTTTGTAGTAAAGCTGAAGGGTTGCACTTTACAAAACCATACTTTACGTTAATTACATAAGAGTTGGTGTATTATCCAAAATGAGCTACTTAGCTTTATGTCCACTGGTCTATGTTGAGGTTTCCGTTGTTGGTCTATGGTGAGCCGTGGTTGCGCTGTCTGTGCCTGTGAATTTTAACGTTGCATGGGTATTATGTGCAATTAACATCCAGTGTGGTATTAAATAAAGTATGGTTTTGTAAAGTGCAACCTTATGATGATGTATGATTTAATATGCATTAATTTGTTTGCCACTGATCACGACTTCTTGAGGTCAAAACACATTTGGCACTAAGTATCTTTTCCAAGTGTAAAGAGTTTTGTTTGAATGCTTGATTTTATATATCAATACACTGCACAGTATGCAAGGTTTCAAGAAAATCAGTATGGTTGAAATGTCCTCAATAAGGCTTTTCTCATTGTCTCATCTACCTTTCTTCAGAAGATAATTGTGGATATTTAGTCCTGAAAAGAGACCTAAGTTCCTTTCTGCTTCTCTATGAGCCATATGTTCACCAATCAGCTCCGAATTCCCCATGTATTATTATGACTTATTCTACATTCTATTGTCATCTGACTAACTTATGGATCCATGGAATGTAATAAAGATGTATGTATGTATCCTTCTGACATGCAGGCTACTGTTTAGTCACTTTATCTTGTCGATGGAGTCAAGGTTCTCTGAAATGACTACAAACCAGCCCACTACATCACCACCCAGTGAGAATGAATATAAGATGGCTATCTTCTGGGTTGTAGTGCCATGTAGTCTGGTAGAAGTGTACCAACATTTCAGATGCCCTTGTGCCTCCGTCATCAGGGCCCTGAAATGTTGGTAAACTTCTACCAGACTACACAGTGCTACAACCAAGAAGACAGCCATCTTCAGCCTCACTGCTAGGAAAACCTGAAATCTACTTAATAGAAGGTTTGCTGTATGGGTAGTATTTTAAAATTAGCCATAAAAATCTTCTACCCCACACAAATTCAGGATTGACCAAATAAATGAACCACCACAAGAGCTGCTACGTAACTAATCTCCAGTCCTCAGTTCTATATAGTTCCAGTGGGTAATACTGTCTTGCAGAACTATAAGAACTCTTTAGCACACATGATGTAGATTCAAAAATTCATTATATTCATACATTATTGAAATACAAGGAAATATAGTTTTTGCATAATACATTTAGTGCCTGGACTATTGTAAGCCAATGACTATAAATTTCATTCCCATATTAACATGGTATGTTTCAAATTAATCATACAATTCTATAATATTTTCAGTTAACTTTTAACTGCCATCTATGATAAATTTTCACACAGAAAGATTTATATGTCATATGAGAGAAAATAAAAATTATGTAATTTAAAGGCAATTATTTTGTGAGGAATTTATTGACACTAACCAAATATGTTGATAGCTATGTAGTAAGAGGTTGGTAGCAGTGGCTATCTGAAAAACACCTTATGTTTGTATGTTACTTGAAAGCATAAGGAAAATAAAATAGCAGCAAATTGCTTGATAAATGATCTGAAGCTTCCAGTTTGTGATTCAGTAACTGATACAAGTAGAGGGTCAAACTTTCCAGCAAAGTAAAGGAACAGTCTACAGACCAGGGAAAATCCCTGCTAGGAATTTGATATACGCGCATGCGCAAGATTTTGCAGAGAGTGATGACCCATCCTAAAAGCATTCGTTCCACAACTACTGAATGAACAACAGGCTTTCATGTGTTCTAATGGGTATAGCTTTAAGATTACCTCACAGTGGAGCAGCGATTTAATCTAGCATATTATCACAACACCCACAAAACACATTACAGGTGCACTCACTACACACTACTCTTAACTGCTTGATGTTTTCAGTTTGTGTGTAGTAGTGTAAAACTATGGCATGTCACACTTCCCACCAATAGCAGCCCTCTAGTCCAGCTGATTAGAAACATTCCTCCTGCACTGCACCATAACCGACATTCCCCGGCAGGGATTTTCTCCTGGTCTTTGGACAATATGTCAGATGGATTTTTTGTTGTATATGTTTTGGAATGCTAATGTGTAATCCAGTGAGTGAAATACTTGATGCATTCTTCATGCCTCAGGAAGAACAAAAATCACTGAAAACCATTTATGTTTATAAAATTAAGAAGGTTAAATGTGAGAGTTATGTAATTATATGTGTGTTTTTATAATTTTTAAGCATTCCAAATACTGGTTTCAAGATTCATACTCTTTTAAATGCTGTTAGATTCTAAAAAAATGTGTTTGTTAAATTTTACTGCATTTTTATAATACTGTTAAAACTTGATTTCAAGTATTTCAGAATTGTAAAAAGGGAACAGGATTATTTACAAAAATTACTACACTTGAAGTTCATATTTCTGCCATTTCCACAGGATAAGTTGATTGTGCTTATTTCATCTCTGAACAGTATTTTATGTATGTGCATGAACTAAAGTGACAGTTACATATAAGGTCTCAAAACTTGAATTTTCTGATGTGGAGAAAATCATGCATTTTGGTACATGAATATTTAAAATATTATGTTTTGGCTTATCATAAGAATTCATGAACACTGCATGTGCAGAGAAACAGCAATTCCCTTCATATATGTAATCATGATTATTCATAGTAAAATTTGAGGTTCTCATGACAGTGAGTATGAACATGGTTGTCTTCTGGGTTGTAGCACTGTATGGCCTGGTCTTCATTTTCTCATGTTTCAGAGGTCCTTGCTGCCTCCATCATCAGGGTGATGATCCTTGCTGGCCTCAAGGCCCTCTGAAATGGAAATCTTTTACCAGACTACATGGCACTACAACCCAGAAGACAACAATCATGATTGTTCATCCTCATGCTCAAGGCACCAAAATGTAATATCTTTGAAACCTCATTAAATTTAGCAGGCTTATTATTAAGAAAGGTATTAATCAAGTTTTGCATAGTAAAAACACTAGTTTAAGCTGAGTGTATGTTAGAAATACATGACATTTAAATTCTCACACCACTATTGACATACAGCATTTTGTTTTAATTATGATTGGGTAAGGTTATTAAAATCTGAGAGAAGTTGTATGGTTATCTATTTCCTGCACTGGGCACTTAAATCTGTAAATGAAGTTTATAGAATTTTTTTTATAATTAGCAGTTTTTAATTCATTGGGACTATGTTTTCTACCAAATGAGAGATTACTATTAAGCATATTAAATGGTCAAATCTGGTAGATATATTTACTCTTTTGTGCTGTTAGTGAAAGTTTTCTTACCAATATTGTTTCAGTAATGTTTCTATGGTGAACATTTTTTTTAATGTTACAAACCATATAGTAAATAATTTAGTGTGAGCTCTGTTGTTCATGTATAAGTGCCAGTTGTCTGTTGATATGAGTTTTGTACTTTTTTCATATAAAACAGAATACAGATTATGTATTGTTGAGTAAATAAGTATAGTGCTAGTCATCTATGTAAGGTTTATTCACCTTCTTTAGTCCTCTAGTATATTACATACCTGTCTCTCCCTCATTGTGTGTACTATTCTGCTACTCCCCATAATAATAAACAGTAATTTTGAGAAGAAAATATATCCTCATGTCCCTGATTCCTCTTTCTTTTCACTTTCATTATCTCTGCTTCTCTAATAGTTTGCCATTATTATTCATCTGGAATTAAGTTCTCATTCAAATCCATTGACATACTGTCACGTATACTAAAATATCAGTATAACAGACTTTCGTGGGGTGACGGAAAATATTCATGACAATGAAAGGCAAAATAAGACATTAATAACTTAAGATTTACATTTGTTCAATAAGTCATATGTAACCCACTTGTAGTGTTATTTGACTACTGGAGCTGCTTGCCATTCTCTATTCAATACATGATGTGCCAATTTTTCAATACACAGTCCAAAGCTAACACTATATTGTCATCTTTAATTGAATTATTCTGCACCATATTGTATACCATGGAAATAATGACAAGTGAATTTTTGTGTGCATGCGCGTGCGTGCGTGTGTGCTTTGTTCCTAGTCACAATTTGATGATACCTCCAATCAGCACTGTCTGCCTTAAAACAACACTGGCTGACAGTCATATGTTGTTCAGGTGCATTTCCAGTTGCTCTGTTTTGCCTAGTCAACTGCAATGTGCTGTGAAAGCTTGCAACTCCACACTTCCTAGTTTGGAGTTAAAATCTGGCAATTTTGAATAGGAAAACTGCTCAAGAAATTTTAAGAAATCACAGACATGCTTCAGACATTTTAAGCACTGTTTAGGTAGATATTTTTGTTCAGTCAGAACAGTTTGGGAGTCAAGTTGTATCTGCTGGACATGCGTTAGCTACATTGTAAATGTGGAAACATAGCATCTTCATAACAGAATGAACTGCTTAAAGTAGACGTCATCCCTTATGCTTTGTTAACTGATATCAACATGTTCATTACATTATGATACAATCATCATCAAAATGTTTTCATTTTATAGTTCATTAAACTGATATCTAGACTACACTACTGAAGATATCTGTATGCTTGTGACATCTAGTGCACATTTAACAAACTATCTGAAAGAAACAGCAATATTTGTAATTATAAAACATGACTTTCAGCTTCTTCTTATAATGGGCCCAGTGTTCATTCATTGAAGGTCAGAGCAACATATCTGGGCTAATGTAGGGGAAAAGATGTACAGATAATAAAAAAACAGATAATCCAAAATATTTTCATTGGTGAATTCACAGCACTTCACAAATGATTTAATTTTTTACATTGAGAATCTGTTTGTGATGGTCACTTGTGTTTGTGAACTGTTTAGACTCCTCCATGGTAGTACTAATTTTCCTGGTGGCTGTCATTTTTCAAACCCTCTCTGACCCATGCAATCTAGTAGAGTGTCAGCATGCTGTAGTGCCATGCTATGACGCTATGACAGACACACTGAGTAATTTATCCTTCTTTACTCATCCTCCCTACCCTCTTCTTCAGCCTTTTGTTTCACAATAGTATTGACAATATTTATGTCTTGTCATGTGCTGGAAGACCAGTTCACACATATCACTTTGTAGCCATTACTGAACATTATCTTCATTAATGTTTCAAAAACTTCTCATAGCACACACAGTGTCAAGCATTTCAGATTTTATGATTTCTTCATGAGGAAAACCTTGCAAACCATATTATTCAAGATCTGGAAAAGGTTTCCTCCATGACTGAACTAGCGTCACTGGGTTCACAAAAGACCATGCCAGAGATACACTGTATATAGATAAAAAACCATAATTTTTTACAATATCTTATTATATCATCTTCATCAGTGAGAATACTGAGATCAGCCCAGTAGGGTCATTTCATGGATGCAACCACTCAATCCCTATCAGATAATCTATATCTAATTCTGTGGCTGATTTTTGATTTTCAGCTTTTGTTTTATTGTCAGTACCATTTTCTTATGTTCTTGAGCCATCTTACATAAGATCCACAACTACTAACTATCACTTTCACCTAGCCAACACACAGTACTGTGTAGTGGAACAAACCGTAAGAAAATAATATTTGAAAAGGACCAAGCACCTGTAGCATCTGCTCTCTCAGCCATCAAGAAGGCATTGTTCTGTAGACCAACCTAAAATCAACCTCCACTCCCCCCCAAAGTGGAGAGAATGGTGCAGAAGTCAAAAGCTTAGTTCACACATGTCTGTGTTTGGGGAGGGGGGGTGTGCATGGATAAGCTGTAAACCAGGTAATCTTTATATGGATAGAGTTTACTGTAGTATTTTTGTCCAGTTGCTTAAAATTCTAAGCAAAATATTCCCCGAGCTGTGCTATCATAGTAAAATTAAGCACTGCACAGATGAGAAAAACAATGAATATTATTAAAAGGTCAGTGACATCACATTATACCATAGATGAAATGTTGTCAACACTGCAGTTTTAAAAATAAAATAGCTCCTGGTCTAGATTATATAAATATAGAATTAATAAAAAAACTGCACCACTACCCTCTCTCTTAATATCTGGAATTCCTAGCTATATGCTGGAAGTCTGGTTCCATACCTGATGAATGGAAAGAAGCAGTGATATTCCCAGTATTTAAAAGGAGGCAACAAAACAAACTGCTCAAACTACAGAGGTATAAGCCTGCTAAACTCTTGCTATAAAATATGTGCTAAAATACTATCAAATAGAGTAAACAAAATAACAGAAAGCATTTTGATGGAAGAAAAAAATGGTTTTCAGAAAGGCCTATCTTGTGTGGAATGTGTCTACACAATGACACAGTTAATTGAGGAAAGGGCAGAATTCAACATTCCCACTTATATTACACTTGATACAGCAAACAAGAATATAATGTCGTAAATACTTGAATTGAAAGGCTTTCCACAACATATATGAGCAATCCAAAGCCTGTATGTAGGAACAAACATTGTCATTGAGGATGGAGGCAGAAGAAGTAGAAAAATTCTAATTAACCAAGGAGTATGACAGGGATGTCCATTATCACCCATGCTTTTTAGACCATGCCATAACAGAATGACAGGAAATTATTGACTTCTTAAAAAGCAAACTGTTGACAACACTCTTATTTTCAGATGCTCAAGTGATCTTAATTGCTTCAGAGGATTCCCTCCACAAGTACCTGGACCAGCTATATGATATTACTTCAAAGCATAATTTGATTATTTCCATATCAAAGACAAAACTCATAGCATTGAAAGGAAAATACATGATACGGACATAACAGTGATAAATAATAACATAGTTAGAAATTTTAATTATTTAGGTTGCCAACTAGGCATTAACAGAAATTTAGATATACAGAATAAACTACAAAGGTTTAACTATGTGGAACAATTAAGAGTACACTACTTAATAAATCCTGACAGGAAACTAAATCAATAATGGCATGTCATAAGGTGCTCTAGCTCTGTGGTGGTCAGAATATTTCTTGATTCATGCAGCTGTCATGTTATTTTACATAATACAAAGAACTGTCTTCCAGAGTACTGTATTTCCTAAAAATCTCTTACTATGTATCACTGTATGGTCCTACTGCAAGTGGTGCTAGTACTGACACCAACTCTCATGTTTGTCCACAATGTTGGTATTACCAATTGTAAAAATTTGATTGGAGGGTAGCTATGGCATAATGTCCATACCAAATTTCATCCAAATATTCTCAAGTTGAATCATGCAGACAGACATGACCAGCCCTATATGCATTCATTTCATGCACACTGTGCAAAGAATGTATAAAAAGCAGGTCAGCCATTTTCATATTTGATTTCAACATTTGTACATCTTTTAGTGTGGACTTTTCATCACAATCTTCAGCCTTGTTTTTGGATCATACTAGAAAATGGTCTTGCCAAGTCACTTTTCTTTCCAAAGGTTCTGATTCTGATAAGTCTTGCTGATAGATGTGATTTTCCTAATTCTTTGACACACAAAGCACTATTCCAGCAATTATTACAGTCAAAAAACCAACTGAATCCTGCTTTCATGTGATCCAACATGCAACAACTTATAAGCATTGCCAATTATTTATTACCAGACCCATTATGCAGAACACATGCCAGTGCTAATGATTTAAAGAAGTAAATATAGAGTTGTTATTCATTTATTGATTTTTATTTAAACATTTATGCTGCAGTTCTTGCATCCAGTGGATAGCAATTTATGGGAAAAAAAGAGAGATGCCTGGAGCACCAGAGGACCAAGTATTTGGAGGCAGACTTGCCCCATTGCCACTTTATTCATGACAAATATTACATGAACTGCTTTGGGACTGAACTTGTGGTGAGATTCTGATATTTGACTGCCCAACTTATGGCACAGCTTACAAGATGATACATACTTCACTGCTTCATACATTTTCTGTAAAATAAATATAGGCCTACCACAAACTACTGTTTCTCATTGTTATATGATCTCTATGGATGGAATAATACAGTAAAACACCAATCAGTGTTTCACCTATTTATAAGGCTCTCCCGCTAATCCACCTATTACACACACACATTATCTCTCCTCTTCTGATTATTGTGTTGGGAGCTTCTTAAGTACTTACAGTTGTGTCCTTTGTGAGTATTAAGACACTGAGCATCATTCAGAGGTCATCAGGAATTAATAGAAATGCTTGACTACTTCATCTGTGAGAGAACAAGATGTCTTACAGCGTATCCCAGGTAGAATAACAATACAGGTGAGGACTATGCTGAAAATATCAAGCAAACGTTTGTAATTGCTGGAGGGCAAAGAAGTAGGTTTTGACTTGGAGCGCAAAAGAGGTCACTTCTCATTATATAAACACACTTTACTGTACGAAGAAGATAACTGCTAATTTATATTTCACTATTCACTGGTAATATACTAGATCATAATTTATATTGAACTATAATCATCTTGTTCCCTGATGATTACATGACAATTATGATTCCTGTAGCAATGTATTCAAGTTGTATAACTGCATGTAATCAATTTATGTTCACTTACACACTAATACCCTATTCACTAATTTAGAGCTGTTGGCTTTCAGTTATTTTCAGAAGTAAAAAAAATAGCAATGTTATAACTATTGTCCGCAAGGCATGAGAGTAGACCCAACATCTTTGGGGGAGGTGGGGTAGAATTCTGTGCTACTAGTGGACCGAAAAACACCCGCAGCTTATACAGGCCATACGTCGTGAGCTAACGTACTGACTGACCGATAGCACAATGTTCTTAGGTAAGGAATACATCACCAGCGCATGCGCAGAACCCACTTTCCCCCTGCCACACAAGCAACAGCTGATAAGGCCACGTCTACTCTCGTGCCTCACGGACAATACTTCAATCTGCTGTCTGGTTCCAAGCTATAAAAATTAGATTTTATACAAGCTCTGATTAAATCTAGATGAACCAAAGACAAAGTGGTTTTGAGGACAGGGTGCAGAGAATATATGGACCTGAGAGGAACTAAGAGGAGGCTGGAGAAAACTATATTATGATCAGCATCATAATTTATGCCCTTCACCAAATATTATAGTGATCATATCAATGAGGATGAGACATGTAGCATGGGAAAGGTGATTGGAGGTGAAGGAAAGAGACCACTTGGGGGCCTTAGCATAGATGAGAAGATGCCACTAAAGGGACCTGAAAGAAATAGGGTGTGAATATATGGACTGGATTGAATTTACCCATTCTATAACAGGCAGGAAGTTCCTAATTAGATGAGCATCTCAGGAAAGATTGGTTATCCAAAACAGTAAGCAGTGAAAATTTAAAAATTCTGTCCATTACCTTATCCTTACAACTATCTCTTCCTAATCCATTTCTGCAGTGTAATTTGTAGAACACATAGAAACATGAAGCAGTATTTCAAAAATTGACATGAAATAATGTCTATTTTCTAATAAATGCTCCCAGATTTCAACTTGAGTAGGGTTAGGAGAATGACTAGACCAGAGGGACTGGACAAACAGTGCCAAGGTATGAGGAGAGGATAAGGAGATGGTCTCAGTCAACAGGAAACAGTATCAACAGAGCATGAGAGAAGTGGCTGTCAGAAAAGAGAAAAGGAAAAACCAGCCAGGGGTTAGAAATGAGGGTGGAATCAAGGGGAATTCTGGCTTTCTGGTTAGTGCAGAATTCAAGGAAGACATTTTGAGGTATCAAAGATAGACAAAGCAGTGACACAGGTTGGAAGAAAGATGGTCAAGGGTAAAGATGTTATGCAAGAGCAGGATAAAGCAGATGAAGCCACCAACATGTAAGGAGGTAAGAGTACAAGAGGAAACACTGGCCAACAGAAATGATGATGATAGCCTGTAAGGTGAGACCTGTGTGCTCAAATCAGAGGTGGTCTTGGATGAAGAAAGAAGGGTGGCAGAGAGTGGATCAGTAGAACTGACACCCTAACAGAAGGTCCTACAACTCACTCAGAGTGCCTAATGATCCTTTCCTTCTTAAAAAATTTCCAATAACAAAGCACTCTAGACCTATTTGGTCTTATTCAGTAGCTTCCTGGTGAAGCCTTCCCAGTTACAAATGGACTTAAATTTGAAAGAAGAATGTTAAATAAAAATTTGTGTACTGTTTAAAACAGCAACATTCCTTGATAATCACTAGTCAGCTCTATCACCCTTCTTATGTACAGGTACAGTAACAGATTCCTTTCACTTCTCTGCCAGTTGTTTCCTATTCCAAATTGAATTAATATATTTGTGGATCTCAGAACATAATATGTTACCTCCTCCTTGGATCAATTCTGCAAGTATTTGATCAGAATGTGATTTACATCTTTTTAGCTTTTAAACAGCAACCTCAAAACAGCTATGCTCAGGTGCTAATGACTTAGTTGCATGTATTTCAGTCTGCCCAACATCATTAAGATACAAAACATTCAACAAATAGCAAAAGTAATTCTTTCACATATTCAAAATACTGTGGGAATCTGCAAGCAGATGACCATTCTCATCCTTTATGAAGTTAGTTATTGGTTGGTAACCATTCTTAAACTCATTTATGACAGTGCACATATCCCTACCATTTTTGTTCCCAATGTTTATTTAAACCTCATAATTTTGTCTTCAAAATATGCCTCCTTTTGGTCCTGAAGCTTCTTCTAGCTTCACGTCTTACACGTCAATATTATCTCCAGTCATTTGGCTCAGATTCTGCAATGACTGCAATTTATATTGCTTAAATTCAGGCTAAAATTTTGATATTCTCTCTAACATTTTCCCAAGTCCAACTGATATCTAAATTTTATTTATTAAGAGCTTTTTAAATTATGCTTTCAGCAACTCAGACTACAACCCATCAAACGAGAGGGTGATAGTGAATAATGAATTGAAAAAGGATGTGTAGGGATGTGGTTATGGCCTAACTGAAGGTACTGGAGGCACTGCGGAAAACCACAAAAACCCAGTCATGATAGATGATTTATGGGCTGAGATTTGAAGCTGAGAACTTTTGAATACAAAGTAGAAGTCCTAATCACTTGACCATGATTATGATCCAAGTTTTGTAAAACTGCAAACCTGTTTTAGATTTTGATCTGACACTGTTCCTTATCTTCTGTATTGTTTATCCTTTTCAGATTTAATCTGTGCATACCAAAAGTTACATGTTCCTTGTTTGATAGCCCCCTTTGCAGCCAATAAATGCTGACTGGTATCATAGTCAGTCCCTCTGAAAGACTGGACATCAAGTAGACTTGACTGTCATCTTTCTATTGTAACAATTTTACTGATTCCATGAGTTCACTTCAAGCTGGATTTCAATTATAATTAATTACAGTGGACAACTAATTTTTATTTGTCATTGATATCATGCAAAATAATCTCTTTTTACTAAATCAGGTACACTGATCATGAAAACAACAATAAAAAAATTGTAACATACTCAGATTTTTGTTAGTCCCTAATTTTTATGTTATTCAAAACACATAAAGTAAAGTATCACCTATTATGCAGTTTGAAATATGGATGTTATTTGATTGAGATTAAAGTTGATATGACCATTAAAATATCATATGCTTGAATTATGGTTGTTCATATAAGAAAAACAGTAAGAAAAGACTCAGATGAAGAAACCTGTATTTGAAATCCACTAATAAAATATTATAATCTTAAATTATGGTTCACACACACACACACAGAAAATATGTCAGAAAAGTATGAAAATTACAAAAGTTTCTACTCTGTTTACAAATTTAGCACATAAAGTTACTTTTCCCTCATATGAATGTCATCTTCCCTTTCCCATTACTATTCTCTTCTACACTGTTATGTGATGCACAATTTTTAAGTCATGTCTGCAATGAGCATGTCAAAATTAATGAAAATGGTAGTTTTCAATCATGTTACCAAAACTTTATTGATCAGTGTCATCCTTGGTTACTGAACTTGAAAACACTGAAAGAATAACACATGAAATAACTGTTCACTGTTGATTATAATTTCTGTCTTTTCAGTTTTGTTTGTTTGTAATTTACAATTGTCCTTGTAGTAAACATAACGCAATGTTCATGGTGACTTCCAGTTTTCAAATCCACTCCTTCATGACAGGTAATCCCCTGCTCACACTATTCATACCTTGACTTCGAACTACAGATCACTCAGCTGGAACAGACTCCAAACTGAATTGTCAATCCGCACTGTTCACTCACTGCCTCACCACTTGGCTGGCTAATTGCAGCATCTTGTATGTAATGAAATGGTGATTGTTCTAGAACACACTCCACCAGCCCCACAAGGTATTTATCTAAGTTATCACCAGCCAGAAGGGTACTAGTGAAAAGTCTAGAGCCTGTACAATGTGCACACACAGGTTGGCTGTCCTCATCCAGAGGTCTGGCCACCAGTCTGTGGGGAGGGAGGAACTCTTGTTTAACAGATACACTGGCTGATACTCATTACATTATCAAGATGTGAACAATCTGTATGTCCTTTCATTAATAGAAATCCAAGTATATTTATGAATTCACTGATGAGGGAACATGGTATTCTTGAAAATATATTAAGTTTACTATTCTAGCCTCATTATCTTTACAAGAAAATAACAGCCTTAGAGGAAATTAAAAAGAAACAGTGGTTGTCGAGCCTTGAGATTTCAGTGATGAAGGGTTATGAGGATGTCATACCACCAAGTTGTGTCATATGCCTTCTCCAGGTTGAAGAAGGCAGCAACAAGGTGCTGAAGTACAATAAAGGCAGTTTGTATGTTCTATTCCAGGTTCACCAAGTGGTCATTGGTTGATCTATGGTGTTGCAATCCAAATTTAGCATTGGAGAGATTTTGAGTCTCCAGGATCCAGACAAGATGACGGTTTACCATGCGCTCCATTTTCTTGCACAGGCAACTAGTGAGGCTGATTGGTCCATAACTACTTGCCATGGTGTGGTCTTTGTCTGGTTTCAGAACAGTAGCTTCTTTCGTGGCACCTGGTATCAACCTCTTCATCCATATTCGGTTGAAAATGGACAGAAGAAACTTCTTGCCTGCAGGTAGGGGTGAGAAAGTATTTCATTATGGATACCATCAGGGCTGGAGGATGTGTTGCAGCCGTGTTCTAATGCTGCCAGTAGTTCGTCCAAACTAAATGTGACATATGGCACGGTGACATGAGATGTAAAATTAAGGTGTATTGTTTCTGCGCTGTTATTAACATCTCTAAAACAAGTATCACAGATGTCAGAACTACATACTGAAGAGAGAAGAAACTACGTTGTTGGCGATGTTGGCTTGGGGTGTAATGAAAACGCCGTCAACAGAGATGCCAGGTATGGGAGTCTGATTGCATTTACCTGACATACATCGTATTTTGATCCATACTACATCTAAACGTGCAGACTAGGAGAGGCTAGAGACAGTCTTCCATGAAGTGTGCTTGGCATTGCGCATGATAAGCTGGGCTTTGGCCCTGAAACGTTTAAATTATATCAAATTTTGCAATATAGGGTGAATTTTAAAATATCTCATAGCTTGCTACCTAGCACAATATGTTTTACAACATTCATCTGTCTGCCATGGGTCAGGTGTGCTACAGGGTGTGGTGGACGACTTGGGGATATTTTGTGAAGTTCCTTGGAATACAGTGCTAATGAAATACTCCACCATTGTGTTAAGAGAAGGAAATTTCTGGTCCTCAAAGATCAATGACTGTGAGATACCAACCCAGTCAGCACGGCTGGTGATGTAGTTCGGATGTCTTGACACTGTTGGAGATGGTGTAGATATGTGTAAATTTACTGGGTAGTGGTCTCTACAGTGTAAGTCCAGAAGAAGAGACCAGTCAAGATGGACTGCAAGTCCCGGACTACAAAAGGCCAGATCCACAGCAAATGAGGTTCCTGACCCCACGCAGAGGTGCATATGTGCATCTGTATTTAATAGAATTAAGTCAAACACAGCACACATATAATAGACTGATCTTCTCCCTTCATCAGTAAGGGCTGAGCCCCGCAGAACATTCTTGGCATTAAAATTGCCAAGAATGAATTGTGGATGTAACTGTGAAATTAAGTGTGTCAGATTGGCTGGATTACTGGTACTAATAGAGGAATGTAAATATTGAACAAAGTAAATCTGAGATTTGACAGGTGATCACTTCAGTCTCCCTGTGTTTACCTATCAGAGTGTCTATATGGTCAGTCTGCGAGTCAGACGTATGTGACATGAAGTCGTTTCAGTTGGGTATGGCGATCGAGTCACACAGCGTTTTACGTGTTCCTGAACAAGACTGGGACTGGTACGGTTATTTCTGACAGGGTACTTTTGATGAATATTCCAGGGTTGTCTGTCATCAAGTAGGGGTGGTTGACATGCATGTGTTTTCACACTTGGCATGGTGGGATTAGGATATTTTCATTGTGGGTGGAAACCTCATATTGCATGGACACTCTTGTTTGGGGAAGTGCTGATATTTTGCTTCAGTTCGGTAATGGGCGGGTCTGCGTTGTTGTATGAATAACTTGCAGATGGTGTAAAAATTTTGCACATGACTAAGTCCCGATCTTAGGTTTGTTCTATAGGAACATCTTCAGAACACTTTCAGAAAGGAGCGGCCGTCCTCGACACGGAGTTCCTGAATCGCCTTCTCGTCCAGAGAGAACAGGACACCGTCCATCACCAGATGCATGCTGATGATGTTAATTTATTGGGTGATGATATAAATACAATAAAAGAGGAACACAGAAGTTTTACTAGAGGCTAGTAGACAGGTGGGGCTAGAAGTAAATTAAAAAAAACTAAGTATATGTTAGTATTTCGTCAGCAGACAGGCGGGTAGAATTGTCTTGGGGTGGCTAACAAATCCTTGGAATGTGTGACAAAGTTAAAATATTTGGGAACAACAATAACAAATAAAAATGATACTCATGAGGAAGTTAGGAGGAGACCAAATTCCGGAAATGCCTGCTACTTCTCAGTTCAAAACATTTTGTCTTCCTGTCTGATTTATAAGAACCTGAAAATTACGGTATACAAAACAATAATTTTGCCTGTTGTTTTGTATGGGTGCGAAACATGGACTCTCACTCAGAGGGAGGAACACAGATTGCAGGTGTTTGAGAATAGCGTGAGGATATTTGGGCCTAGGAGAGAAGACGATGGGGTCTGGAGAAGACTGCATAAAGATGAGCTTAATAATCTGTACTCCTCTCCCAATATTGTCAGGGTGATTAAGTCGAGAAGAATGAGATGGGCGGGGCATGTAGCACGCATGGATGGGACAAGAGGTGTGCACCAGATATTGGTTGGAAAACCTGAAGGGAAGAAACTGCCAGGGAGACCTAGACGTAAATGGGAGGATAATATCAGCCGGGATCTATGGGAGACAGGAGTTGTTGGCCCAGGACAGGGTCCAGTGAAGGGCATTAGTTAATTCGGTGATAAACCTTCAGGTTCTGTAAGCCATCTAGTTAGTTATTTGGTTAGTTAGTTAGTCAGGCTTGTCGCTGTTGTACTCCAGTAGACAGAGCAGCAACATGCATCGCGGTGGTATGGGGATCCTGCTGAGTAACCAGGCGACACAGAGTATAATTTTATGGCACCCATTATCTGAAAGGATCATTACAGCTTGATTTACATCTAAGATCTGGAATTTCACAGTTGTGCAGTGCTATGAAACAGAGTAAGAGTTAAAATATAGCTTGACAAAACGCCTCGGAAAGTTTGCCAGAAAGATATAATCCTGCTAATGGGAGACCTGAACACGAAAGGAGGAGATGACAATAAGGGTTTGAAACACATCATGGGCAGACACAGAGTGGGGAATAAAAACGACAATGGTGATATATTTGTGAATTTCTGCGCAACGACCTCGCCACTGTTCTGCCATAAGATCACCTGGGTAGCTCCAGACAATCGGACATAGAATCAGACTGCCAATTTTGCAATAAGCAGGAGATGAAAGTGTTCACTGCAGGATGATAGCAACCAATGAGGAGCTGATGTTGGAAGCGACCATCATTTGGTAGTAGCTAAAGTCCAACTCAAGATACTTGGTACCTGAAAGAAGTTTGCCAAGTGAAGCAGACTGTTCGATGTGGCTAAATTGAAGAAATAGGAGGTGAAACAAACTAGAACTAACCAATAAGTATGAAACTTTGAATACCATTGAAATGGAGACAGTGGAAGTGGCCTGGATGACTTTCAAGTAGACCTACGTGGAAATTTGCGAGATCATTTTGGGGCACAGGAATGTGCTGAAAAAGGAATGGATGTCAGAAGCCAGCTGGGATATCATAAAACAAGGAAAGGAGGTGAAACAGAAGATAAACGCCTGCAAGACAAGACACCACAAAAGGAAGCAACAGACACAGTAAGTGAGCTTGACAGGCAAGTAAAAGAACTTGCTGACAGGATCGCTGGCAGCAAACCAACAAACAAGTGGCCTGAAAAGTTCCAAGATATGAATAAAAAGCTACTAGAACTCAAAGCAGAGGTGAAGAAAGGTGGACTGAAAATCAGATGTGCCTGAACTCCAAGGTGCAAGGACAACTAGCCATCGATGATCAACTGATCCAGACTGTACAACAGTTTTCTTATCTTTGAAGCAATGTGGATAAGGAGGGTAGAGTACAGTGGGATGTCAGAAATTGGATCAAGAAGGCAAATGGGGTCTTCTTACAGCTTTAGTCTCTTTGGAGAAACACCCTGATGTAGAGGAAAACGAAGTTCCAGATTTTCAGCAGCAATGTAAAGCCCAAGCACCGTTATGCCTGCGAGACACGGAAAGTAACCACCGGAATCACCCAGCAACTGCAGACCTTTGTAAATCGTTACCTGCGCTGGAGCAACAGAAAAGGTGGCGTTGGAATGGAGGAGAGGAAGGTCAAGAATACCCGGAGAAGAACTAAACTGGAGAAAGCATAGAACCAGGGATGGACCTGCGGGGAGGAAGCAAAGCAGCTGGCCAGAAACAGAGTCTGTTGGCGAAATTTCACGGAGGCCCTATGCTCTACTGGGGTGCGACAGGAACAAATAATGAAGTGACCTCCCACTCGTATAGAATAGCAGGGAGCTAGCAGTTGTAGCACACCTGTGGACGAAGTTCGCCCACAACATGTATCCTTCAAGGTAGGCAAGGAGTTCTCCATACAGAATCTCCATTTGAAAGCTAACTTCTCTCAACAAAAAATCAAGGAGACATGATTAATTCACATGCATGCATGCAAACACACATGAATAGAGAGCTTGGATCACTCACTAAACATTATACTACATTTTTAAAATGTCACTAATTCTACAAGTAAACAGTGGCTGTTTCCTCCATGACTCTGCAACAAAATACTGTACACATTTTGTGTCTTCCTCAGCTGAGCTACATGTTCATACAATCATAACTTCGCCAGGATTCAGGAGAGAAGTATGTAGATGAGGAGCAAACTGTTTGGAACATATGTTTTATCTGATTCAAAAGTGAAATGATCAGAACAGCTTGCAGATTATGGCAAATGGAGAGCAGACATACTATTAGACAGGTATAAGGATTTACAGGACCCAGGGTTGGCTGTATCAAGGATTATTCTTTGCCTACTGAATACCCAAAACTCTTCCTTGCATAGTTTCTGGTCACACTATTATAGGAGGAATAAAATCAGTGCTGCCATCAGTATTACACCATGCAAACAATTAGTAGTCAGCCATCACAGCATATCATACATGAATAAATGTAAGTTTCCTATACATCTATTATCTACAGGGGGCACAAGAAGAGCTACTGGTGCACAGAAAACAGTATTAGACATCTTTCTTGTCTAAAGGAATTATTCAAAACCTATTTGATCATATTTTAATATCATACCACAACAGAGAAATCGCTTATTGTGACACTGTTCATCATAACAGAAGCAAATTCCCAAAAATTTTAGCTCTAGGGCCCTGAATAGAAAGAAATGGGATATTGTAAGTAGATAATACAACAAAAACACAGCAATGTGCTGGAAAGACAAGAGAGGCAGATACAGCTGTGCCTGTGGGGAACTTTTTGTGTAAGTAATGCTCTGAAGCCCAAAGTAGTACAAACTACAACACACATGAGCTATACTGAAGCAATTAACAGGAAGGGCAAGAAGTCTAGATAAAGTTGCAGAAATTCAAGTGAACAAAAGAACTTTCATTTACTTGTCATAAATTATAATACAGATATCATGTGAAGAAAAATGACCCACTTGCTATCCAGGAATCAACTTGTTTGTGACCCTTTACTTGCAGCAGAAGACAGGGCTGTAAATAGAAAGGGAATACAAGGCAGATCAAGCCCAACAACACCACAGTTGTCCCATCTGGAGATAAAATACACAAAACACTAAGCATGAGTGTATATTGTTGTGAGGTTTGTGGTGCTGGACTGTGCATTTCTATGTATGGTAACTGTACAAAGCAAAACTGACCTTTAAATGGCACAGACTGTATTATGGGGGAGGAAATTTGGTTGAACATATGTGTGTTTTTTACAGCAAGAACAAAGAATTCTGCAATATTTATCAAAATATAAATCTAATGGCAGCAGAAAATGTAAATACACGTAATATTCCTTTCACTTACAAATAATCTTGTGGACTGACAGCTTGAGGAACAAGGTCTGTGTAAAGTGTATTTTATTTCATTCCTGTATGAAAGTTTTTAATAAAATACATATAACAAGATACACTGTTTTATTCAAACACATGTACAGCATAGCGTAACTGTGGAATTTAAAGCCAGCAGGAAATATGGGGAATTAATAATCTGGTACTTTAAATATTAATATTCTTGACAGTCCTCTTTTAGGTGTTCATGTGTAGTTTTATACTTGCATCTGATAATATATCTGAGATGCATAACGTAACTGGTCATTTTTGGCTAATATATGAAAATGATGTAATTATGTTGCAAGTTTAAACTAGAATGCATACTCAAAATGGGTAACAACAATCAACGTAAATGTGCCTTAAAAGTATTTTCATAGATATACTATTTCATGGTAAAATAATGAAAAGCTAATCAAAGGTTTCAGAGTTATTGCCATGTTAACTTTGTAGAAACAGCATGTATGACATTTTTATTTTATGTATACTTCTTGAAAATTTATACTTGTTAAATTGTGGTATCAGGGAAACTCAATGCTTGTGCAGTACTTCATAAGGAGTCACAAATTAAGACTGACAAGTGCCATTAAATTATGTGACAGTGATTCCACATCCATCTGTTGACTTGACATGGAATGAGCCTTTTATTATTATGACTATTGATTTTTACAAAATGGAAACAATTTGTTTTAACATAAAATGTCTCATGTGGTGGGGACTTGTCAGTGCACTGAATGTGCTGTACTTCTCCACCTGTCTGAACACATGTCTTACAGTGACAGCAAACTGAGCAGCCCCTGGTAGAAACTGACTAGGTAAGAAGATTGCAGTAGCGGCCTCAATGCAATCACATCATCATGATCCTGAACTTCCTTTGCATAAACGTTTTCCTTCATGCATACCCACATGACTAGCAGATGTATGCAACATGAGAAAGCCTGTTTTTCCCAGATTTCAATGGACCTTTTCAAATACACATCAGTAAGGTTGTCTTAAATCTGGATATCACTGCTGATATTCCCTCAGTACAGTGAGGGAATTTCCATCGCAAAAATGTAAAATAAAGAAATGCATTACTGTATACTCTGCAATAGCAAAATCTACACATCTTTGTTGTTGCCACTGTTCATGTTACCAGTACTATTAGAACTATACTGAGTCTGACAACTACCTGAATTTCCTGATGCAGAACCCCCACTAAATGACCACAGTACAAAGTGACACCAACCAAGAATGTCGTCAATTGCAAAAGGAGGCAAATGAAAAACGTTACTTACATTCTCTGCTCTAAATGATATCCCTCAAAACCTCCTTAATATTGTACTGTAGCTTTGAATCACTCTGTATA